GAGCAGACGAGAAGAAGAGCAACGAGTCCTACTGCCCCCGGTAGAACTTTGATTATATTTTTTTTTTTTTATCATCTATATGAAATTTTTCGAGATTAATTTCATCGAGTTTCAGTTCCATATTTTCTTGAAATTTTTCTAATTTTACGCGAAGTTTTTGTAACAATTCACCAGCACGATGAATATACTGCATTAACACCAAATTACCTACATCTTTTTCTTTCTCTTCACTACCACTCTCTGCATGCACACTACCCTGGGGGCTTCCTTGCTTCGTCGAACCCGGCGACGCCTCCTCCTGCTCCTGTGCTGCATCCCCGGGGCTCTCGGGGTCATCTGGCGACCCCTCAGCCCCCTCATTGTCTTGAGATTCCTCCGGCCCATCGGGGCCATCGGGCCCACTGGGCCCACCGGGCCCTTCGGGCCCCTGGGGGCCTTGGGGTCCTTGGGGGCCCTGAGGTCCCAGGGGCCCCTGGGGCCCCTGGGGCCCCTGGGAGTCGTCGGGGCCCTGGGATTCCTGGGGAACCTGGGGAGCAGCATGGGGGACCTCAGGCCCCTGGATATCCTTGGACCCCTGGAGGCCCTCGGGCCCCAGGGGGGGTTGGGGGTCTTGATGGTCCTGGGACCCCTGGAGGTCTTTAGAGCCCTGATTGTCATGGGAATGCTCAGGGCTCTGGGGGCCCTGAGGGTCCGCGGGCCCAGGGGGTCCCGCGATGTCATGGGGCCCCTGGAATTTCTGGGGGCCCTGGTTGTCCTGGAGCCCCTTGGGACCCTGGGGGTCCTGAGTGCCCTGAGGGTCACGGGGCACCTCCAGCCCCTGGGGACCGTGGGGGTCCTGAGGGCCCTTCTGCAGCCCCTGGGGGTCCTGGGGCTTCTGGGGGCCGTGGGGGCCGCGGGAGTCCTGGGGACGCTGGGCGCCTTGGGTGCCGTGGGGCCCCTGGGAACCGAGGGGGTCCTGGGGCCGGTGGGGGCCTTGGGGGCCCTGGGGGTCCTGGGGACGCTGGGCGCCTTGGGGGCCGTGGAGCCCCTGGGAACCGTGGGGGTACTGGGGCGAGTGGGAGCCCTGGGGGCCGTGGGGGTCCTGGGGCCGATGGGGGCCTTGGGGGCCTCGGGGGTCCTGGGTCTCCTGGGGGCCTTGGCGGTCCTGGGACACCTGCAGACCCTGGGTGCCCTGGGTGCCCTGGGTGCCCCGAGGGTCATGGGGCCCCTGCAGCCCCTGGGATTCCTGGGGCTTCTGGGGTCCGTGGGAGTCCTCGGGCCGCTGGGCGCCTTGGGGGCCGTGGGGCCCCTGGGGTCCGTGGGGGCCCTGGGGGTCCTGGGGGTCCTGGGGCCGCTGAGGGCCTTGGGGTCCGTGGGGGGGCCCCTGGGGCCGGTGGGGGCCTTGGGGTCCGTGGGGGGGGCCCTGGGGCCGGTGGGGGCCTTGGGGCCCCCGGCGCTCCTCGGAGCCCGAGTCTTGGGACCCCTCATCGTCAAGCCTTTTCTGGCGTTGCTGGCTGTCTGCAGCAGTTGGCTGCATGCGTTTGGTGGTGTGTAGACCCCTCAATCTGGTGGCGTATGCTGGTTGGTGTGTTTGTTTTGCGTTTCTTAGTGTTTGTGCGTTTATACTTCTTCTGCTGTTTATTCTGTGTAGTGCTGCTGCTGTGATGCTTGCTCCATCGCTGCGCCCTGATGAGGGTTTTGTATCGAGTCTAGAACCCGTAAATTTTTCTGTTTTTACTCTTCTTGTTGTTCTTCTTATAGATTTTCTTCTTGATGGTCGCCGCGTCTTTCTAGCACGATATGTTGCATCTGCAGCAGCATCCTCTGGTAGTTCTGGTCTCACCAAGGTAGCAGCAGAAGCAGCAGCAGCAGCAGGAGCATCAGCAACAGCAGCAGCAGCAGAACCAGCAACTATAGTTTTGCGAATTTCAGGACGAAGAGGAGATAAGTTAGAGTCAAAACCACCACCAGAGTGTAGCAACAACCCCCCCTCCTCTGCCTCCAATACACTGGGCCCCACGGGAGAAGACCCAAGACAGAGATGAACTGCTGCAGGGGCAGCTAGCCCCGACAGCAGCAGCAGCAACTCGCCACGGAAACGCATTCCCGCTAGCAACCTTGTAGCGCCGCTGATGCTGCTTCGAGTGCAGCAACACCTGCTGCTGCTCGTGCTGCTGCTGCTGCTNGCTGCTGCTGCTGCTGCTGCTGCTGCTGCTGCTGCACAGCCAGCAGCAGCAGAGTCATCGGAAAGGCCCGCAGAGGAACAGGAGGGTCATTGCTGTGGTTCCCTTCTCCCTAGATTGAAGTTGATGATATACTCTTGTTACTTATTGCTGATTAAAAAGAAGAAAGCTGTAGAATACCACGACAGCAGACTCGAAGCCCCGCTGCGGTGACGCCCCTGGGGCCATCTGTGGCGTATTTGTGGCCATGCCACGTGCACAAACCCCAAACCCTAAACCATAAACCCTAAACCCTAAACCCTGATGGAAAAGTCCTTAGAGCGGCAGCTCGCGACCGAAGCAGCTGCGCAGGCAGCAGGGGGAGACGGGCGGAGTGGGTTTTGCTGCTGCTGCTTCGGGTCCAGGTGGAGAAGCAAAGAAAAAGCAGAAAGATAAACAACTAATTTCTGCTGCTGCTGCAGCATTTAGCAGCAGCAGACGCACAGGCTGACCAGCAGGGCAAAGGACGGAGAGCCGATGCTGAGGAGAATGGCTGAGAGAGAAGTCCGCGTAACGTAGTTTCTTCTTCTCAAGACATCGAGGGTTTAGGGTTTAGGGTCTAGGGTTTATAGTTTAGGGTTTAGGGTTTAGGGTTTATGGTTTGCAAGAGCAGCCTCCTAGGGTCCTCAAAACCACTGCTCCGAACCCCACCGGCGTTCACTCTGGAGATCTTGCTGCTGCGGTGCTGCAGAGCGTTCGCTTCAGGGCAATTGCTGCAGTATAGTGAGTAATAAAAGCAATTAATAAAGCATTAATTGAAACAAAAAACCTTTTAAAACAAGAAGAAGCATCCAGTAACAAAGATGATGAGAGATGTTCACGCGGCCACCCGCAGCCGCTCCCTTGCAACTCCGGTCAGCCCTAGGCAATTCTCTCTCTCTTTTTTCTTCCTCGATATAGTATAAAAGTATAAACTTTTTATGAATTTTTGCTCCAACTGTTGCTTTCTTATACTCTTCGTCTCAAACAAAACAAAACAACGAAAAAAACATATAATAGAACACGCCATAGAGCCACATGAACACAGGAGATAGAGCGAGCGCCTGAACAAGGCCGCAGGCCCCCCCCCTTTTACACTGCATATACTGAGCATACACCCCAGAATACATGCACGTACCTGATCGCCTGCAATAAGCCCTTAAAGCAGCAGCAACGCGCTGCTTCCTGTTGCATGCACCCTAGAATCCGTTGCCCGGCTGTATTCAGATCTGCGTGCTTCTCCCTTACAGCAACAGCACTAGCGAAATACACAAGAAATACCTCTCTCCCCTTTGAACTATAGGCGGCATAGCCGCCAGGACCAGTTGCAGGCAAGGAGGGGATACGGTTCAGGGTTTAGGGTTTAGGGTTTAGGGTTCTGGGTCTAGGGTTGCCCGGGTAGCAGCGAACTGTGCAGCACCTCTACTTGCAGAGGTGAACCTATAGCGAACCAGTAGCTTTCGGCCTCTTTCCGATCCATGAAAACATGCATGTATGCATGCATGCATGCATGCAACGACACTGCACGCAGTTAGAGCAGTTAAAAGCTCCCTGGTGTACAGGTGGATAGAGGCAGGGGGTGTTCGGCTGTATCTGAGGATTGAGAATGCAGTTGTACGGCTTTTATACTCTATTTATTTATTTATTTATTTACTTATTATATTTATTTTCGGAGAGGTGTCTATCAATTGGGGCTTTATATTTAATATGCTAAGAAATACCACTCTGATGATTTATAAGGTCATCTAGCGAGCGATGAGAGTGCGTCAGTGATTCGAGAAGGCTGTGCTTGAGCTAGAGATGTATTCACATATATATACATATATATATGTATATATATATATATATATATATATATATATATATATATATATATATATATATACTCTCTCTCTGGTTGCCTTAACGCCAGCCGCTGAAGCTGGCGCTACGGGGAGCAAGAGACAGCGAACTCGCTCCCCATGCTACTGGGGGAGTTCGCGCACTCCTCTGAGCTCAGGGTTTAGGGTTTAGGGTTTAGGGTTTGAAAGAGAAGCAGCAGAACGAAACGAGCTGAGTCAGGGAGAAGGAACTCCAATACACCGAACAAACCCGCACCCGCAAAAGGGCATGAACTCTCCAGTAATGTATTTATACTGACGGGGCTGCATGCGCTGAAACTGATTCACTTGTTGGTGTTGTAAACTTTACATAAAACCCCACCCCTCTACAATAGAGACTGTCTCCTCTACAATGGAGACTGGTTCCTGTACAGCTGAGGCCGCCCCCTGTACGGCAGAGACTGTCTCCTCTGTCCCACCATAACAGAAGAGATACACGGAAAAACTATAAGACCCTCTAACACATCCTCTACCCCTCCTGCTGTCCAGACACAGCTCCATTATAAATCATTGTTCCTCATAGTTCAGTAACGGCTAGCAGCAACACCCCCCACCCGACGCGAGCGGCTGCTGATGGTGCTGTTGGTGCTAGTGCTGCTGGTGCTTCTGCTGGTAGCTGCGGTTACTGCACTGCAAGCTTTCTACTGATGTTCAATGGAGTAGTTGGTTTAACTTTGGTGTGTACGTGTCAAAATCCGATGGCTAGCCAGCTAGCCGCTGGCTAGCCAGCTAGCTACTCATATAAGATACTTGTAGGGTAGTTAAGACGGAATGAATCCGTATATTAACCTTGCCATCAAAAATAAAACAAGTCAAGGCAATTGGTTTATTCGACTGTGCTTCATTGTAGACGGACCAATTATCTCGGCTATGGAAAAAAGAGCAGCAGATGCTGCTGCTACTCAACGCGTGATCGCTGCTGCTGTTGCTGCTGCTTCTGCTACTCTCGGAACGATGAGGGCACCTCTGGCTGCTCATACTACATCTTTGTTGCCCTGCTAAAACTGGAGCCGTGAGTAAGACGGCGGCCACAATGAGCTAGCCGGGGCGCTGGGCCCACCTGCATCTGCAGGGTAGCTAGCTAGGACTTCTGCGAAGACCAGCAGTATCCCTGCTGAGAATGACGCTACATATGTAGCTAGCTGGCAAGCCAGCTAGCCAGCTAGCTGGTTAATTCGCTAGCCAGCTGCTGCTTTATATCCTTGAAAGCCAAGCTGTAAAAAGTAAAAACACAAAGAAAAATACTTGGGCGCTGCGAATCCTGCTCAGTTGATCCTCCTCGCCTGTAGCGCTGTAGCGAATACTGAATCCGTGACGCCGCCTGTGCCCCACACGGCGGGGCCGTGGCGGCCTGTGGAGACGTCTACGACAGCGCAGAGCGCAGCTAAGTCCTCGGGGCGATCCATTAGCAGAGAGTACGTCCTGACATTCGTTGCTAGCACACAGCACCGGCTCTCTTGCAGCATCTGGCCCACTGAAACACACCAACATACACAACGCACACAACACACAGCAACTGCCTCCGGGGTGCTGTTGCAGCTGGCACCGCTGACGATTAGAGGAAACGCTTCCTGGGGCTGCATGCGCGTAGGACCAACTGAACAACATCCGCCGCGCTGGGGGACTTTGCTGCCTGAGAAGCCAACTCTCTAGGCTGTTAAACATCTAGCTAGCAGTACTGGCTAGCCGTTCTACAGCCTGGAAAACGGCCCGCTAACTATGTAGGTATTTAGGTAGCTAGCTAGCTAGCTAGCTACTCGTATGACTGGTTAGGAAGCTGTGTGGCTGCTGACAGGGCTTAATCATCTTGTTGACTTCTCTGAACTCCACCGAATCCTTCGCGCCAATGTACAAGTCCTTCACTACACGGAAATCGATGCGGGTGGTGCTCGAGAAGAAACCCGCGAAGCCCACCGTCTTGAGGGTCAAGATAGCTTCAGGGTACAGCACCCGCAACATTTTCCGTTTGACTTTCAGCGAGTTGTGACACAGCTTAGAGCAGAGCACGCCCCTGGAGAAAACACAGAATGCACGGTAGGCCTCGTTCAACAAAAACAATAAACACAGGCAATAGAGCCTATATCTATATCTATAAAAATATCTATATCAATATATATATATATATATATATATATATATATATATATATATATATATACTGCAAGCATGGATGCCTCGTNATATATATATATATATATATATATATATATATATATATATATATATATACTGCAAGCATGGATGCCTCGTTAGACAGATCAATCAGCCACATGTAAGCTAAGAACAAAGGCATTACGGGCCTCTCTGAACAAATCAACAAAGGGCCTCTTTATATAAATCAATCAGCAACAGACGAGCAACGAACAAAGATAAAAAGGAACTTGTTAAATAGATAAGTTAACCAGATATCAGCTGAAATATAGATGAAGGTTCCACTGAGGGATGCATCAAACTGTAGCTGCACCAGAAATGAGCGCAATCGAAGAAAGGGAAAATAAAAAACAAAAACAATGCGGGATCAGGAGGCAAGGAAGGATAAGAACAACGCAGCACAGCACAGACTCTAAACAGCCGAACAGAAATAATGTGGTTGTTGCAATGGTGCTTGTGGCTCAAGCCTTTTTCTTTGTGCCGGTGATGCAAGCATCTAACCATGCGCAGGCACAACACCCATACGCTATCCAGCAGAAACAAAAGCAGAGAAGATATTAATACGGTAAAAAAATTCATAAAACAAAAGAAAAAGTAAAAACCAGACAGTAAGAAAGTAATGTCACGCTGCCTTAGAACCCTTAACCCTAAACCCTCAATTCAGTGCATCAGACTCAAGATCCTGTTTTGTCTACTCACGCTCTGAGCTTCTGGATGGCATTCAAGTACACGTCTGCTATCCTTTCGCCTGCAACAAAAATACAGATGTATATACACCACAGCATCACGACAAGTGTAGATACACCACAGCGCCTAATGGCAGCAGGAGTAACACACCAATCACCCAGACGAAAAGCCATACAACAGCATAGCAACAAATTCAAACGCCCAGGATCACCAGCAGCACCAGCAACAGAAGCAGCGGTAAACCAGTTGCAACACGAGGCCAGGCCCCAGCTACTCTACCTGCCGAAGCTGCAATATCAGCGCAGAAAAAGCAACAGCAGCAGCAGCAGCTCACCGATTCCATCTTCTTTAAACTGGTACAGGAGAGCTATGCGCGAGGCAACCTGCGAGGGGAGATTGAGCTTCGCCTCCAAGCGTCGCGCCCTTGTTTGCACCTCAGTACTTTTGTGGTCCTTGGCAAAGGTAAACGGAAACTGATGCGTCTGCTGCAGCAGCATTAACAGAAGCAGCAGCAGCAATTCCGAAGGAGACT